CCCCTGTGGGTGAGAGTTTCTCGCTTTCTGTCTCTATGTCTCTCTGTGTCTGTCTGGAGCGCCCGCGCCCTACAGTGAAAAGCTCTCAAAAAAAAAAAAAATGCTCAGCATCACTAATTATCAGGGAGTATAAATCAAAACCACTTCAGTCCAATTAAAATGGTTATTATCAAAAAGACAAAGATAACAAGTGTTGGTAAATATATGGAGAAAAGGGAACCTTTTTATGCTGTTGGCAGTAATGTAAGTGTAAACTTACATCCATTGTGAAAAAATAGTGCAGAAGTTTTTTTAAAAAATCTAAAAATATAACTACTATATGATCTAGCAATCCTATTACCAGATATATATACTAAGGATGTGAAAGCAGTATTTCAAAAAGATGTTTTTACACACATGTTTATTGCAGTACTATTTACAATAGCCAAGATATGGAATCAATCTAACTGTTAATCAAGAGAGAAATGGATAAAAAAAACTATGATACCTATACACAGTGAAATATGCTTTGGCCGTAAAAAAGAAGAAAATGCTATCATTTGTGAGACATTGATTTTTAATTCATCATTTCTATCAAAAACAACAGAAATAGTAATATCAAAATCTATGGTCAGGTCTCATGGTAGGGTCACCAGTGCAGAGATATAGCAAGGCTTCAGCCAGCATCCACCATTCTCTCCGGGAAGTATAATAGGGCTCAGGCGGATGGGGGAACTGACTTCAGTAAAAATGTTCAAAGTGAATTTTTTGTAATATGTAGGTCGGATCCTCTCCACTTAAATTATATATAAAGAGGAAACAGCATAAACTAAGTAATAACATGTATGTTAAAGTTTTTATCACTTCTGTAAGTATACAGAGAGTATTATAAAAGATGAAATAGGAAAAAAGAATACATGAAAAATAGTAGCCCTGTGAACAAAAATAATTCAATTCAGAAAGTGTGACTCTGAGTGGGACCAGCAGTTAGTGTAATGGCTATGTCACTGGACTCCCATGTAGTCGACCGCAGTTCGAGTCCCGGACCTGGTGGCTTAAAACTCATGCTGGGCACTTGTGTGTGCGTGCCCAAGATCCCGAGAAGAGAATGGAGGAGAAGGGATTGTGGCGTGGCCACCCCACTGTCTCTTTGTCTGTCTGGTGAGCGCACATGCCCTGTAGCAAAAACAAAACAAAACAAAACAAACAAAAAACAAACAAAACAAAAAACAAAAAAACTCTCCAAAAAAAAGAAATGGTAAAAGAAAAAAAAAAGAAAGTGTGACTCTCAGTCAATGTATTTTAATATTAAGTAGATAGATGATAAGTAGATGGATAAAATAGCATCAGTTAGTCATTAGCTTTAGAAAAAGAAAAAGTTCTCTTATCATTTTAATCAGGTCTAAACTGGCACCAAAAGCAAATGATGATTGTTTGAAATTGAGTTTTTATTCCTGACTAGCATAAATGCATGGGTTGTATGTTTAATAGATGACCACAGTGACTAATAAGGAACTGTTAGTTCTTTTGTTTCATATCATTTTTTTTCTTGAATAATTATTTTATAATTAGCATTAATTCATACTAATGAAATGTCTTCCTAATGAAGAAAATACTTTATGATGTATTGACTAATATTATAGGTTGAATAAATAATTTAGTATAATTTAGGAATAATAATTAAATTCATGCTAGTTTGACTTTGACAGTAAAATACATTATGTACAAACATTTTTGGAGTATGTGGTATTTTTTTACAGAAAAATCTGTTCTCCAGAAAAGAGATAGGAATATTCTACCTGTATTATGAAAAAGATTTTCTTTTTTTATACGTTTATTGTATGCTTAGGATACATGAAATGTATTAGGTACAAAATTCAACTGTTCGTCCAGGTTAATGTTAAATATCATACAGCTGAAAATACATTTTGCTTAAAAAGCTAGTAATTATATACCCATTATGCCAGTTCAGTAATTACAATGTCACAAGTCAAGGTAAGTGTAGAGCCGACCAGAAAGTTCTACACTAGATTTATTTTTCGTGTTGGTGGGCATAAATGGGTTGCCTTTATTAGATCTTATTTCAATCTATGGATTTATGAAGGTCTGTGTAGTATCTAAAAAACTTGTGTTTCAAAGTAGCCAGGAAGAGGAATTAAAATATGACAAATTAAGATAATTAGAGAATAAGAACTGTCCACATTGTTTAAAAAAAAATAGATATCTAGAGAAGAAAATTAGAGAACAAAATAACATGTAGGTAATTGTGTTCTAATTGTAATCAGCATTTGGATCAGCGGAGGAGCGCTGTGGATCGAGGCAGCTGATGCTGACATGAAAGACTGTAGGTCTCCATCCTAGCAACAGTGTTTTCAGTTCTCTCCTGTACTATGCACAGAGCTCAACACCTCGCATCCTACCTCACAACTAAACGTAATTATTACCTGTCATTTAACAGTTTTCAAAAAGACTGTAGGTGTGAAGCTGGGCTTCAGTGGGCATGAAAGATTTTCTGGGAAAATAAAGCTGCTCCAGATGTGTAAAGAAACACAGCATAGAGCAGGCCCGTCTAGCAGAAATACAATGTCAGCCATAAGTACAAGCCACATGGGTAATTTTACATTTGTTTTCTTCTTCTTTTTTTTATATATCAGACAGAAAATGTGCTGACATCTTACCTGAAATAGCCACATCTCACACAACAGTGTGAAAACCCAGTCATCATGCTTATATACCATGAAGGATCTGATTTTACGTTGTAGAGTAGCCATATTAAGAACAGAAAGGCACAAGTGAAATTACATTTAATAGTGTTTTACATTACCCAATATATTTGACAGATGACTTAACGGTGTAATCCACATACAAATAATTGATGAGATATTTTACATTTTTTAACACTGCATTTCTGAAATCCAGTTTACTTGTACAGCCCATTTCAAATTGAGCTAAGTCTATTTCAAGTGTTCAATACCCACATGGGGCTGGAGAGTCTGGAAGATGAGCCTCAGCTTTCGTCCTCATTCCCACCTGGCTATACATTTCCATCAGGGAACTTCTTAGAGAATTCATGTAATGTGTTCATTAAAGACTCAGCAGATAATACTCTAGTAGTTTACAGCATATAAATACCATGAAAGCCTAATCAAGAAGGCATTTTTTGGCCCCTATCTCATTGGACTTTTCTGCTACATTTGCCATGATAGATTACTTTTTCTTTATTTTTTTAATATATACATTTTTTCTTTACATGTAATTGTCAGAAATCTTTAGGACTACAGAAATACTTTATTCCAGTACCAGCAGGTATACTCAAAGCCTGTATGTAGTGTGTAATAATCACATCGTAAAGTACACGCTGACGGGACCTTTTCTACCTCACAGCTAGCACATCTACTCTTCAACGTCAGTGTTTTACAGGATCCTCTTCAACTGCCATCTTGCTTTCATTCTACAAATTCTCCCAGAGGTATCTCAAGCTCTTGTATACGCCGGTATTACTGAAACCTCGCCTCTCGGAAGCTGCACACTTTTCAGCAGGCCGTTATCCATCCTTAAACATGTTCATCTTGTCTATTTCTTAATGTTGTATTATCATCATCTATTTGATTGGAAACCTGATGGTGAGCCTTGACATTTCCTACTCTTTTACTAATCAGCAAACCCTGTTGATTTCACCAACTTAATATGTCAATCCATCTGTCTCTCTGTTTCTGTTAAAACAACAAATTCATTTGTCTACTCCTCGTTTCTTGGAATGAGGCAAAATTGTCATAGATTCTGCTACTCATGTACCTTCACATTTATTCTCCCAACGTTTTTTGTTTTTTTTTGTTTTTTTTGTTTTTGCGGGGGGGTTTGCCATGGGGCATGCGCATGCACTGGAGTGAGACACAGAAATAGGAGCAAGAGAAAAATGAGAAATCATTCCTTTACAGGAGATGACCGCATTGCAATCCCTTCTCTTAGGATTTTGGGCACGCACACATGTGCCCATCATAAGAAACAGTCTCCAGGACTCGAACCACAGAGTTGGCCATGTGGGATCCAGCAATTTAATGATGATGCCACCTGCTGGGCCACCCACTTGTTTTTGTGGTTTTTGTTTGTTTGTTTGTTGCCAGAGGGTGTGTACACTTGTCAGAGAGACACACAGAGAGAAAGAGGGAGGAAGGACCCCTCAGTGGAACCCCTCGATTGCTTCATCTCTCCATCTGCTTGGGATTGAGAGCACACTTACATACATGCTCTGTATGTGTTTCAAGCTGCTGAAGTAAGATGTAAACCATGTGGATCCCAGCTCTCTTAACCAGCAGGCCACAGGCTGGCCCTACTCATTCCTCCAACTTCTAACAAAGAAACGTAAAATAAAACATAGGCTGTCTTTACTCTCTTGCTTCATTCTAGTATCCGCCTCTGCCTGAAAGGTAAGGTTTATATCCTCTACTCTTTTTTTTTTTCCTTTTTTTTTATTTTATTAATTTCTTTTTCTTTTTTTTAACGTTAATATGCTATACATCATTATAGTACACAAAATGAATTTTTCATCCAAAATACACTGTCCGTTGGCTCAATCAAGCACGTCAACATACTTGTTATCAACAATTTTTCATTTCTTATGTCTTGTATATTTTGTGTGTTTTTTTGTCTTTTGTTGTTTTTGCCATCCTTGATTCCCTATCCCTAACCCTCTGCCCTGTCCAACCCTCCTCCCATTGTCTCTGAACATCCTGCTTTACTGCCTTGTTCTTTCGTGTTACTCCCCCACTACCTTCTGAGTTGAATTCTGCTCTACCAAACAGAATTGCACATATCTCATCACAAACATAAGCTGCATGTGCCAGCTCAGTCATGCGGCCAGCTTTTGTGACTCTTTTTCCTTTATACTTTCTTCATCTCTGGGCTTGCTTACCCCTCAAGAACCTTATGGGACAAAGAAATGGATTATTACCTGTTGAAGATAATGTGCATAGTATTCTCAACTGGATGGGCGAGAAATGTACACATGTTGGAATACTCACTTTGCAAACGAAGTGACATATGTGGTTGAATGTATAAAAGAATTGAAATAAAAAATATAGAAGAAGAACCCACATATGGCCACCACTAGAGAATGATTCAAATGTTGTATTCTCTCATTCCACCTCTCCTCTACTCTATCCCTCAAGTAGAAGAAGCGTGTATTACAGAATCATAGATCCAGGAGTGTTCTTAGATGCCTAATGTCCCCATTTTGAAGATGAGAAACCCACAGGCAGGTCAGAGAGAGAAATGGGTGTCACAGGTTATATGAGGCCATTTCAACATTGGTCACCATCACCTTTTTTCTTCATGCTCTCTTGTTGCAGTCTTAACATTCCTCTATTTCAGTCCCAGCTTAATTATTTTATGCACGTCTCCACCATCAAGGTCTAAACATCTCTGGAACAGCAGTCAGTTGCTTCCTGTTCATTTTCCTATCTCTGATATCCAGAATGATACTTTTTACAAGGATTCATAGAACTCAGCTGCAATCAGTCTAGAAACAGGAACATTTTTATGTGCACGCTCGCACATCCAAACATCTGCACACATTTACACCCAAGCAGAGTTGGATTTATTTAGGATGAAAGAAACATCTGTGAAGAGACAGAAACATTTACCGAATTAAAAGTTGAATATGCATGAAGAATGAATGTCATCCCCTCCAATCCCGATCTGTTTAGACTGTCTAGTTTGAAAAATATGTGACACTTTGAACTCTAACTGTTCTCGTCAACACCTGAAGGGATTATGTTTACATCCAGATGAGTAGAAAGGAAAAGGGACTGTTGTGATTAGGGTTGAAATAGCTTCATATGTTCCACGGTAAAAATTCACCTCTCTAATCCTGTTTCTTCAGCTTCGTATTGAGAAAATTGGGCATCTAAAAGCCCTGTTGGATCTAAGATTCTGTATTACAACATTAGGTGCAAGTGAAGGACAGAGAAGAGGAGGGATAGCATGAGAGAAATTAAAACAAAATTTGCTTAGCCTCAATGAATGCCACAAGCACCATTATATGCATATTGGGGCCAGCAGGTGGCATAGTGGTTAGGCGCTGGGCTCCCATGTGGCCAACCAGTTTGAGTCCTGGAGCTGGTGGCTTGAAACTCATGCCAGCAGCCTGTGTATGTGGGCCCAAAATTCTGAGAGGAGAATGGAAAAGAAGGGATTGTAGCATGGCCATTCCCCTGGGGGATGATTTTTTTGTTTTCTGTCTCTGTCTCTTTCTGCCTCTCCAAGGAGCATGCATGCCTTATAGCAAAAATCTCTAAAATAAAATACAATGAACACGTACATCTTTTATTTTTTCAGGTTTATTCATTTATTTCTTCCCCTGAGAGAAAGAGAGAGAAGTAGATGCAGACAGCAGAGAAACAGGCATCCCCAACAGGATCCTTAAACCATGACCCATCCTCTGTTCCAGCAGAATGGATCATAGCCACATGGGAGCTTGGGGAGATCCCAGGAGAGGAACCCAAGACCTTTCCTATGTAGGTCCAGCTGGATTGCCACTGCACCACCATCCAGCCCCAACACATAGCATTTAAATTAAAATGGTTTCATGAATTTAAGTTTGTTAAATGCATAAGTATTCATACTATATTACACATATATACAGTTACCAAGGGATGTATCTTTTATTCTTTGTAAGTCCAATAGATATTTGTCATAACAATGCCCATAAATGTTAATGATCTTAGTTTTATTTCTCATTTTTTAGGATAGAAGGGTCGCTTTAGTATAACATTGAATCTGATAGGAATTTAATTCCTTATGTGGCCGAACTCAGAAACTCAATGGGATAAAGTCAAAATGTCAATGCACTTTCATGTGGTGAGTCCTTTCGCATAAATACATGAAAAATCTTCATATTTTTCTATGAAAAATATGGAAAGTTCTGAGTGTCATTAAAAATACATAAACCTGGGAACCAGCAGTTAGCGTAATGGCTATGTCGCTGGAGTCCCACGTAGTCGACCGCGGTTCACGTCCCAGACCCGATGGCTTAAAACTCACGCCAGGCGCGTGTGCGTGTGTGCCCAAGATCCCGAGAGGAGAATGGAGGAGAAGGGATTGCGGCATGACCATCCCCCCCTGGGGGGTGATTTCTCGCTTTCTGTCTCTCTGTCTCTCCCTGTCTGTCTGGCGAGTGCACACGCCCTACAGCGAAAAAAACTCTCAAAAAAAAAAAAATACATAAACCTGGGACCAGCAGTTAGCATAATGACTATGTTGCTGGACTCTCATGTAGTCGAATGTGGTTCAAGTCCCAGACCCAGCGGCTTAAACTCACGCCGGGTACGTGTGCGTGTGTGCCCAAGATCCCAAGAGGAGACTGGAGGAGAAGGAATTGTGGCATGGCCATCCCCTCTGGGGGGTGATTTCTCGCTTTCTGTCTCTCTGTCTATCTCTGTCTTTCTGGCGAGCGCACACACCTGTAGCAAAAACCTCTCAAAAAAAAAAAAAAAAAAAAAAAAAAAACATAAACCTGGGATCAGCAGAGGACATAATGGTTATGTCACTGGACTCCCATGTAGTCCACTACGGTTCAAGTCACAGACCCGGTGGCTTAAAACTCTCATCGGGCACGTGTGGACGTGTGGGTGGATGCCCAAAATCCCGAGAGGAGAGTAGAGGAGAAGGGATTGCAGCATGACCATCCTTTCCAGGGGATGATTTCTCATTTTCTGTCTCTCTGTCTCTCTCTTTCTCTCTCTCTG